ATGAGATTAAGATGTTCTGTAAGCTTAGCTGAAGCCACCTCCTTTTCCAGTAAATCTCCAGATAAGCAGATAGTGTTAAGCTAAGTTAATGTTTAAGTAAAACGACAAAAAAACCCAGAACTTAATATTCTCACTTCTTGCATTTTGCTCCCAATAGATCCTTGCTCTTCAAATAGTTTATGAGCCATTATAGTGCCTGAATAAATAAAGTCACAACAGAGTTCCATTAGCTTTCATGTATCACTGTTTTAAATCTTAAGAATTTCAACTGTAGCTGAAAGTTTTTCTCTATGTGAATGATTTAGTGCACAAGTTGTCCACAAGACTAGTCATCCGTAATACGGTACAGTCATTCAAGTCATGTCTTTTTTGATATCTAGTTCTTTATATTTACCTCAGTGCGTGTACTTGTTTGTATGCTGAGGGAGTAATACTGTTACCAAATCAGGTGCTCCCATTTATATATTCTTGGATTCCGTAGCTGCACAGGATGGTGGTTTCTTGCTGTAGGACTGGCTGTGAAATGGAAAGTCCTCACCTACTAGAGCATCTAAATTTGGAAATCTCTAATCAGTCACAACATTATCAAGAAAAAAAAAAAACATTAAACCAGTAAAAAACTCTAACTACACTTAATAATTATTGCTTTCTAATGCTTCTGTTTGCTGTAGGTGAGTAGTTGATTGCTATGCTGTAAGGATTCTGTTGACTGCAGAGGCAAGGAAGAGCTTCCTTCCTTGGTGTCTTTTTTTTTTTTTTAATTTTGTTTTGTTTTTTTTTTAGTTCAGGCATAGTTTCTTTCAGTCTGGTTTGCTGGTGGCTTACAAGGCAGAATGAATAGGTTGCTTGCCTGCGTTCCCATACAGACAAACAAAACGAAGGCAAAAAAGAATTTGTATTAGGTTGGATTGAGCAAGTATTATAAAGCAGGCGTTTCCAATTCTGATTGCTCCTGTAATCCGTTTAGCAGTTTCTTGTGGTGTATGGTTTGTATGGTTTTTATTTTGCTCTTAAGTTTAAGGAGATTTTGTGGTAAAGATTTTTTTTTTTTAGGATATTGAAAGTGTTTTGTGTCTCCTGACCTAGACCAAGGTTTTGTTTGGGTGTTGGTGGGTAGTTTCAGGCAGGGGAGCAACAACTCTTGGTTTTAGTAGACCCTACTATTCTGAGCATTTTACCTGTGCCTGTTTGTTGATAGGGGGCTAGGATTGAGGATTTAGCTGATCCCTCTTGGTCCTGTTTAGTAAAAGACCACCAAAGTTTAGGGAAAAGGGGAGAAGGAGCTAGTGAAGCTGTATGGTTCCATAGTGTGTCTTCTCATGACTTTATCTTTTGGCATTTACAATAGAACACTGAGACTTAATGGGGCAGTGTGTCCATACTTTTATTTTGACAAGCTTTTGAGATGTCACACTTGAGAACTGAAACAAAGTATAAGCATATCTTTCATATAAACTACTAAAAGGGTATAGATGTTAAACTGCTTAGCTTGCTTAACACTAGGCCTATTGTAAAACAGCTAGTTTTGTAAGATGTCAAAAAAGGGAGAAGGTGCCTTACTGATAAGGACTGTGCTTTGCTTTGCTTTAGTAGTGAATGAAAGAAGGTGATACCTACCCAAGGACACAAATGACATTGTAAATACCCTTAGCTAGACCTAACTCCAGACCGTGTTTCTTTGAACTCTCTGGGAAGGTGATAGCCTTTTAACACTTTTGCACATAATTCAGACTACTGAGGCAACACTGTTTATGTTAAAGGAAGATAATCAAAGAAGTGTAGATAACGAAGCTACTAACAAGCATTCTTTCAAACCTGCCATGCTTGGTAGAAAACTTCTCACTGTGCAGAATTAAGAAAAAAGTCAACAGACAAGTGAGGAAGACTAAGACCGACCACCAGAGGACACATAAAGACCACCGAGGCAGACAACTGCGCATGTGAGATGGACCTTTATACATATGAATGATTTCCAGATCTCATGTTTAAGTAAATTAGTTCTCAGAAATTTCATGAATATGTATGATTGTGTAACATATAACCTCTACGATTTGTTAAATCTGGCAGAGCACTCATGGTGGAGCAATTGCCAGTGCTGCCCAGCGCTGCAAAAAGAATATCTGCTTAATAGTCTCATTGGCTGTTAAGTTTCTTTGATTCAGAATATTGATATGCATTGTCACATTCTACTACTTTTCCATTGTTCCTCTGGCCCATTTTGTATCTCACGTTTATGCTTTGTAATCAGCAAATCCCTTTTCCAAGTCTTTTGACTGTGCTTTTCCGAGGTGTTTGGTTTTTTTTTTTAAATAAACTGCTGGTTAGCTTTTTTTAGAGGTTGCAAAGATCTCTCTTTAAGATGTGTCAATTCTCTTACTATTGCAGTAAGGATGTCAAGATTCTTGGAAACATGAATGGGGGAAAAGAATTAAACAAGAAAAAAATCAGCTTATATATAACTAGAATTCTAGCAAGATGTACATGGTGTCTTCTGAAAGAATCAAGATGTTCAAGTCTGTTTTAAAAAGCTAAAGCTTTAAAGCTATACTTAAGATAGAAAATGTACCTTGTTTTTCATAACTTCTGGGAATTCTGTGCCTTGCATTTTAGCAGATTCCTCTGAGCTGCTGAGAACAAAATTACCATTGCAACAGGCATTCTAACAAAAAAAGATTTAATGAACTCTTGCTTTTTTTTAAAAATAAAACCCAGTGTGTTCAGTCCTGGTTTTCTTGAATGAGTCTTCATCACAACTGTAATAGAAGTCAATATGGTGTGGATGACACCGCACCTAAAGAATCAGGAACTTCTGTATAATCTGGGGCATAACAACATGTGCTAAAATTAGCCATTGCTATTTCAAATGTTTGGCTTTAATTTCTCTAAGCCCCAGATCATCTCTAGTGCATGAGGCAACATGAGTTAGCCAGGTGGATGAATACATTGCATAATGAGGGTTAAAATAATTGAGGGACTCTGTTTGCTAGAAGAATACTGGGATTTTTCCACCTCACCCCCCACCCCCCCCGCCTTTAGATTCAGGGAGGTGAATAAATATGCAGTTTGTGTTTGGGCTGAAATATATCAAGATTAATGCAGAACTACAGAATTCCACTCTGTTCCCCGAAACAAAAAGAACAATCTTTTATGAAGCTTGTATATAATATGCAATGTAGTGCTAAATAAATCTCAATAAAAATATTGCAGTATTTGGTGTACTCTGAAGTATGAAGATTGGAAACAAAACGCTTTGTTATCAAATGTGTTTGTTGGATGATATTAAAAAAATCAATCCAGGTTACATGTTTTGTATATCAAGTTTCTGTTGCTTGATTGCAATTTGGCATAGTTTGCACTTAGGCCAGAAATTTACATTAATGTAAGGGAAAAGCAAATGTCTGCGCATCTGTGACTCGGAACAGTAAATTTTTTTGTCTGAGCTTTTCTATTTATTTTGGTTGGATAGAATCAAATCTAGTTTGAGTGAGTAGTAGTAATTCAGTCCAGGATATAGATTTGGTTCAAGAACATTTATTATGGTATATGTTATATTATGATCTGATTTTTATTTTCAGTCCTGACAGATAGAAGGTACTAAGATTTTTATTAGTTATGGGAGATTTTAATATCTTAATAGTGTTGCAGAAAATCGTGGAAGCATAGTTTAGGTTCGAAGGGACCTTTAAAGATCATCTATTCCAACCCTCTGCAGTGAGCAGGGACATCTTCAATCAGATCGGGTTGCTCAGAGCCTCACCCCAACCTGGCCTTGAATGTTTCCAGGGATGAGGCATCTACCATCTCTCTGGGCAACTTGTTCCCAGGTGTTTCACCACCTTCATTGTAAAGAATTTTTTCCATATGTCTAATCTAAATCTGCCCTCTTTTAGTTTAAAACCACTACCCCTTGTCCTATTGCAACAAGCCCTACTAAAACATCTTGGGATACTGAGAAATTCTGGCCTACAGTTGAGAAACATGCCTTAACAATTATATGGTGAATAGATAGTGTGTAAGGCAAAGGATAGGACTAATTTCCATTAATTATTAGTTTGCTAATTTTGGTCATCTAACTAAAGTCAGTTTTCTAAACTCCCTTTATAATTACTTGAGAGGAAGAGAGAATAACCTGCACATATACTTCTCCTTATGATGGAGACAAAGAACAAGTAGGATGTAGTCTTTTAAGGGTCTACTCTCTACATAATATAAATTAATTGTGTTCAAAGCTCTAAATTAGTCTCATGCAGTCACTAGAAGAGTTTGAGATTTTTTGATAGCTCTTCTGAGTTACCTATAATACTAAGCAGCTGTAATTTTTATATTTTAGACTAACAGTCTATAGGTTAAGAATATGATTTGGATGTTCACAATACGTAATTGTAAAGTTTGTATATATTGCTTCACATAGTAACTAAGTTATTGTCTCATGAATATATTTAAAACTCATTAAAGACTCTAAAAATATTTATATGTAATGTTATGTTTAAAATCATGACATGCATATTGAAATTTGCATTACTTATTTCTGTGTATGTACCTTCATGTGTAGAAGTATTCAGGAATTACATGTGTTTTGTGCAATACTCAGTCTGGTTACTGAGGAAGATCGATCACTCACTAGGGACCTGAAGGTCAGATTTTATTGGGTTTAAGTGATAAGTGAGCATTTGACAGTTGTAAACTCTTCCTTGGGTGCAGAGAACATAATAAGCAGTTAAACCTTTGTTTTTCTTCAGGGAAGAAGAATTAAAGTATCATTGCACAAAAGGATTAAAACCAGATTTTGAAAATCAAGGGTCTCCTGTCTGCCTATTCATCACCGTATTCCATTCCATTCTGGGACAAAAGAAACTTATTATTATTGAAAAATTTGCAAACTACCTTGTATGCCAGAGAGGGAATTAGAGGTGCATATAGACAGATCAATAGATAAATGCAAACTTAAGATTGAACATGTATTAGCTGAATCAAAACTAGTGTGCTTTCCTAAAACACAGGCAGTTATACATACTTTTAAACATGAGATAAAATTACTCCTTTCCTTTGCTTTTTTTAAGCTGCCAGCTAATAAAGATGCCTTCCGCAAGACATGGAACCCTAAGTATACGCTACGCAGTCATTTTGATGGAGTGCGGGCATTAGCTTTTCATCCTGTAGAGCCTGTGCTGGTTACAGCCTCTGAGGACCATACTCTAAAACTTTGGAATTTGCAGAAAACGGTTCCTGCCAAAAAGCAAGTATATGGGTTTTTATAAAACATCAGTGATGTTTTAAATGCCTTTGATTAAACTCTTCAGTATTTTCAGAGTTTTTCAATAGGGATTTCGTGTAGTGTAATAACCCTTCCTTTCTCTTTCAGGAGTGCCTCTTTAGATGTAGAACCTATCTACACATTTAGGGCCCACATGTAAGTGTTTAACATAATTAATGCTTGATAAATTTATTGTCATTGTCTCATGGATTCATAAGACACCTCAGTTTAAAAGCCACAAATGTGTTCTATTTTTATGTCTTATAGACAAAGTCTGTTACACAGTGTAAAAACAGGTTAAATGAGTCTCTGTCATGAATTGCACAGTCCGTGATAAAACAATGGCAAATGGGGTTAGTTGCAAGGGAAAGGAGAGATTGTAGAAGATGATAATGAAATCACCTGAGTGATGCCCATGTCTTGGACTGTGGATTTTATATGTAATATGTGAAGAAAATAAATAAGGTAGAATTTATTAGTCTTACTTAATATCTTCAGATACAGGTCTAAGAAATTAAAAGTACAGATGCAATCATCAGGACAAAAAAAAAATATCATTGAATGTGGATTCAACAAGTGAAAAATAGAGAGATCAATCAAGTGAGAGTTCTGAATTTTTTTAGGGGCTTGAACAGGAATAAGACATAAGGTTTCATTGCCGGTATAGTCCGAAGTAGTAGATAGGGCATGGGTATTAATTTATACATATGCCTCTCAAGGCTGGGGGAACCTAGGAATTAGTGAGATAATTGTTGTGATTAACAAGTTGATTAATACCTGAGTAAAGTTCTGATAGCTACAGTCAGTTCTCTTGCAATGTCAGCTTGAGATTTCTCCCTTCCCGTCTCAAGTTAGCCTGCTTCATGTGCAGATGATGGTTTGTTGCACACCATAACAAATATTCTGATTTCTGATTCTGGTCCAGCCCAAGATTTTGGGAAAGCAGATCACACAAACTAGTCTGAAGCAAGGAAAGGTCTTTGCTGTGGCAGATGGCGACAGTGAGCTAACCTGAGTTAAACAATGTTAGTAAAACTTGCAAGTTGAGCTGGGACTTGTAAAACTCTTAGTGATTTTTCAACTTGCATTAAATGCTTTATTACTGCCTGAGTTTCATTTGCTAGTTTTGAATTCTGCTTCCTTTCAGTAAGAAGGCAAGACAGAAATTCACAGTCTGTAGTCAGTCACAATATTTTGAGTGTACTTCGCTTATATATCTAAAGACCCAGTCTCCAACACAGTTAGCAGGTGAGCTTCACAAGAGCTCTTTGGTAAGTGTGGAAGTGGATAATGCTTCCTGTGCTGACCTTGACAAAAAAAAAAAAAAAAAAAACAGCACACACACAAAAGAAATCAGTTTGTATTAGGAAATCTACACATACTGTCATCACCTTCCTCCTTCCCATGAGCCACTTACTTGATAGAACGTAATGTCTTATTCTTGCACTTATTAGGCAAAGCATAAAGCATTCTTCCCTAGGGCTGAGTGACTAATTTGTCCTCATGTTTAAATACGAGTGTTCTTTTGAGTGATAGAGGGTCACTGACCAACTGAATTCTTCTTCACATCTTTTTTTTTTCTGTCTGACTTTGGGCTATTATTTGGGCCTTTGTTACTGGATACCAGAAAGTAAGGTTTGGGGAAGTCTTGATAAAGAACTGATCCTCACCCTATGACTTCCAATGAGACTGGTAACAAAGTAATTCTACTATTTTTACCCTCAGGCAGCTTTTGAGCAACATTCTCTTTCAGCCCAGCCTCATTCTTCACTTTGCCAAATATGTAGGTAGATTCAACCAATAGTCTTCCTTTTCACCCATCTTCAAACATGTAATTCTAGTTAGCTCATCTGCACTTAAATAACCAGTGAATTCCTTATATCCTGAGCACAGCCTGTCAAATGAGCCAGATGTCAACTTTAGGGATATGGTTTTACAGAACAGTTAAACCTCAATTAGTAGTGTGTCCAAAGGATTAGACCTCCTGCTTCCTTTGGGCTACAGCTTGTGCTTGTCTGATATCACAGCAAACAAGCTGAAGTTAAACCAGTAAAAGTCTAACCTCGGCCAAAAAGTACTCTTCCTGGGATCGTTTTCTGAACCAGTTTACTGTGGCATAGGTTACTGTCAGTTCCTGAAATAGGATGACAAAATGGGGGGAGGGAGGGGGACAGCTACAACCACCTCTTTCAGCAAAGCTAGCTAGTAGATTGGCGTGGATGCACTGTAAAAACTTATAATTTGTAGATGTAGTTCCCGTTGCTTCTGAGAAATAAGGTGGTGTTCTTTGAATTCCTTGAATTTGGATAGTTTTAGTTAATTTGTTGTGGATATTTTAGTACAGCTTGGTAACACTTGTTGAGACTTAAAAAGGTTTTAACAGAATTGTTTCTTTGGAGTCTGAATTTTGTTTAACTACTTAATCTGATCTTTCTTTTTTTCTGAAAGTAGATAGCCAAATTTTCACTTCTAGCCTATAGGCAGTATCAATAAACTTTTTCTCTGTCTCCCAATAGTGGACCTGTATTGTCATTGGCAATTAGTTCCAATGGAGAACAGTGTTTCAGTGGTGGTATTGATGCAACCATCCAGTGGTGGAACATGCCTAGCCCTAATGTGGATCCATATGATACCTATGGTAAGTAAGAACCTTTTTTAAAAGAGAAACAACCCGTGACCGTGGTCTTCAACATTGATTTTCTACTTGATGCTAATCTGTTTTCTAGAGCTGTTGTGAAATGTAACTGTTATTTATCAAGTTAATTGTGTGTTTTCAACTTTTAATGTGTGGTAAACATTAATTATTTATTCCCACTTCCATTTTTGACGTACTTCGTATAGAACTGTAATAGGAAGACTGGCAATTTCTGAGGTTTAAACAGTAAAGAAAAAATTAATCATAACTTAATTTTTTAAGAAGCATGCTTAGTACTTTGAACCAAAATTTCGAATTTTTGAATGATTGTTTATTTCTCCTGATAGGAAATTCTCAGAAAACTAAGATAAGTGTACTCAAGTTCTATGTCCCATATTTCTAGTTTGTGTCTCAATTCCCATAACCAACTGATAACCGCTTGGAAAACTGCGCACCGCTCTCCTGCCGTTGATGGCGATCAGCATTTTGTGTTTAGTGTAATTCTAAGGTGCAGTTCCATGGTTGACTGAAGTTGGAATGGAACAGAGTCACGATTTACTTCCTCTCTCCCTTGTGTCAAAGTAATGACTAGGCTAATACAACACTTGGGCTGCATAAACTGTGGCAGTGAGACGGGGAGGGATGGGAAACAGTGCTGTCTTGCACTGGTCTAGGAAGACTGCTACACTCTGTCCCTCAAAATCAACATATAGCCCAAATTGTACGCCTCTGCTAAAAATTTATTCAATATAATCTAACCACTAAAAATAGTCCAGTTTATTCATGCAGGTAGGATTTTTGGAATGATTTCCATGGGCTTTGGACAGAGCTGTCTATACTCAAGTGACAAAGTTTCTTTTAAAAGAGAGCACTCTAAGGGGATATTTTTCTTCCCTAAAGGGTGTTAGCAGGGGTTTGGGTTGCAAGACCAACTTATTTTTAATTTTCTGCAAAACTAAATGTTAGTGATTTATCTGACTTGATTCCTTTCCATTTATCTTTTTCTCTCACTTCTCCACTCAAAGCCTGGTAGAGAGTAGATTAAAAAACACTCTATAGAAGACAACTGTGAAGTATCAGGAAGGAGATAATAAGATTGTGTTTACCTGTTCCACAATAGAAATAATCTTGCTTTAATTATTAGGGTGCTTGAGAGTTTTAGAGCATGCCCTTGTGTCAGCAGAGTATGCTGAGTAAAAACAGCAATAGGCATCAGTGTTTAAGTGGAAAGCTGATTTTATTAGGTGTTTTTGCACCTTGTACAGAGAAAGGGCTGTGACCAAGCATGTTTAAGATGGTGAATTTGGAGGGAAGAAGCAAGCGCTTCAGAAGAGGTGTTAACAAGAATGTGTATCATTCTGGAAAAAGGGACATAGTTGTGGGTTTTGTTTGCTGATTGGTTTGGTTTGGTGGGGTTTCTTGTTTGCTTTTTTTTGGAGTGAGGTTTTTTGTTGTTTGAGGTTTTAGGGGTGTTTTTTGGGTTGGTTGGTTTTTGATGGTGTGTGTTGGTTTTTTTTTTGGTTGTGCAAAATGACCTCCTGTGTAATATTCTAGCTGTTTAAACGGGAAGGGCTGGGGGAATATATGACAGTTTTATGTGGAATTTGTTTTATATTGAGATACAAGTAATAGTTATTTTAGTATTTCTTCACTGAAAAGCTTTCATTTCTGAACTTTTTGGTTTTTTCCAGAGCCAAACGTTCTAGCTGGCACATTAATTGCTCACACAGATGCAGTCTGGGGTCTTGCTTACAGCGGTGTAAAGAATCACTTACTATCTTGTTCAGCAGATGGCACTATTAGATTATGGAACCCATCAGAAAAAATGCCCTGTATTTGCACTTACAATGGAGAGAAAGGTAAGTTTTTGTGGTGGTTTTGAAAATGTGTTATGAGGCAGCTGATGATGCGTGCCGGCTCATTATCTCTGTTTATCAAAACTAGGTAACAGGAGCGAAAGGATCTTTTAATAAAGTAATCCTGGTATGGTAGCATTATTCTAAAGAAGGGAGCGAGTTTCTTCTTTAAAGTATGAGTATAAAGAAACTAAGTGTTTAAACTGTGAAGAATTTTAAGTGTTTCAGTTTTTCTAAAGACTTTTTTTTTTCTCTTTCTAGAGCATGGAATACCTACATCAGTTGACTTTATAGGTTGTGACCCTGCTCATATGGTGGCATCTTTTAACACTGGCAGCACAGTCATCTATGATTTAGAAACATCCCAGTCAGTGGTAATGCTTTCATCACAAATAGAGTCTGGTAAGTAAAGCAAGCTCTTATGTATTAAATATCCATCTTAAGCGGGGTTACCTTTATCCGAGCTTTACTATATGGTGTATTAAATGAAAAAGTCTTGCTCCTCTCCTGCATTATGCAATTTTAAAGTTGGTTAGATGCTTAAAGATACTTGGAACAGACACAATGGAAAAGGTTGTGGATTAGCAGGATTTGAAAGCAGTTAGAGGTAATGAAAGCAATGGTTTTTGTTCTCTAAGCTAAGGTTTCTCAAGATTCAGTTGTCTGAATTGCATATTAAACCACAGTTTTCATTATATAGCCTTGACACAGAGGACATCAAGTAAATAAGTGAATTAGGCAGAATATTAGTTCAATGTGGAATTCTGCCCAGGTTGTGATTAAACACTCGCTCCTGTAGAATTTTAATATTAGAAATTCAGTTGCTGCAAATATGGTGCTATGAAGATGTAGCTCTTTAAGAACTGTATGTATCTGATGAAACTCTTGATAGAGGAGCCTTCTTTTCTTGAAACTTTGAAAGTGTTCCGTAAGGAAAACCTCTAGTTTCTGGTTGCTCCCTTCTATGAAATGAGATCTAAAAGAATAATGCAAGGGAAGAATTTGCTTCTCCCCTCCACGTAGTCCAGTTTACTTAGTAGCCTATGTAAAGATTTCAACACAGGTTACAAAACTGCATAAAAGCGATATTCTGGGTAGCTTATGCAAAAACTGGCATTGACAGGGAGAAAGAACTCCACAAATTGGAGAAATACCTTTCTGAGTTTGAAGAGAGAATCTTAAATGGAGTCAACAAAAATGAAGCACAGAAATGAAGGGATCAAGCCTTGATATGCCAGTGTTTTAACATAAGAAAATGTTTTTTAGAGAGTATTCTTTAAGAGTATTAGGGGGATTGGACTAGATGATCCTTTGAGGTCCCTTCCAATCCCTAACATTCTGTGATTCTGAAAACATCTGAAGACATTCTAAACCATTCATTGTTTCTTTAGGTTGAAATAAGACATACCTGACAGAGTCTAATAGGTTACGTTGACTTCAGTTACTTGGATTCTGTATTTTTTTCTTTCATCAAATCTCTTTTGATGTGGAGGTGCAAGAGGTGTGTGCTAAACATATAATACAGATGCCACGGTTTGTTTCTACTTGGCTAGTGCTGCCCTGCAGTACTTGCTTGGTTTGTTTGCTAGCACTCTCAAGAATCTTTCATGTGTATAAACCACTTGTACAGCTTCAACCTTACAGTGGATTGGCTAGAGTCTACTGGGCTTACCCTGTAAAGCAAGAAGCTATTGTTTATTAGAAGGTTAATTGCTAATCTTCGTAAAATGTTACTTATTAGTTAATATAGTAAGCTAAAGTGTAATGCTAAAATATTATTATTTTAACTTTAATCCTTTCTTTAAGGCAGGTGAATTTTTATTTTTTTTAATTTTATTTTCAGGTGTACAATCAAATAATCATATTAACAAGGTAGTAAGTCATCCCACACTTCCTGTAACTATTACAGCACATGAAGATAGACACATCAAATTTTTTGACAACAAAACGGGTAAGGATAAAGAGAACCTAACTTGTATGTATGAATAGGTTTAAAGTAAATCTGGATGGACGTAGGGAGAATAAATTTGTAGAAAACTTAGTAGTGATGCAGTTTTATACAAGAGAACTTTTGGTCTTTGTAAGATCAACTTCTTCAGTATCTTTTTGATGAAGTAGTGATATCTGTTGCAATTGCAACTTCAGCAGTCAGAAAATACTCTCTCAAAACAGGCAGGGATAGTTTTGAGGAACAAGAAGGTCTTCTTAAGTTAGCACTTTGCTAATTTATAGAGTATGCCTGCTGTTTTCTTCCTGTCTCCATCATTTCCTTGCTTTTAAATCTATGTATTTATCAGTTGTTATGTTTTTCAGCTCTCAGTAGTAAAGAACATTGCATGGTACCTATTAAGGCAAGAAATAACCCTAAAGTCACTGATGTAATGGAATCCTGTGTCATACTTAAGTTGCTGATTAAGTTTATAAAACAGAAAAGGATCTGGAAAAAGGAGGGAAAGGAAGGATGTAGGGGGAAAACTGCACTCTCCATCATGAGAAAAAGTTCGAATAATTTTAAGAACGAACATAAACTTCCCATTCGTCAAATTATCAGTCACTTCCTGCATGTTATCCTAACAAAGTTGAAAGAGAAAAATAAAAAAGTCAGCATAAACGAACTTAGAGAGGTTTTGCACATGTGCTTACTTAAGTGTGTTTGATTTGGTTTGTGCAGGAGCCGGGTGATGGTCTTAGGTTTTTTGTTTTCAAAAGCAAAAATCTAAGACTTTTTTTTTCCCCTTCTCACCTGTCACAAATGTATGTGTTTGAATTGTGGTCATTGAATGCTTTGCAGTGATTGTCCTGAAATTAAAATTTAGTACCTTAAAGAAACAAAGATGTAGAATAAGGAGAAAAACCTTACATTAACAAATAATTGGGTCAAAGACAGGAAACAGAAAGTGGAAGTAAACGGTAATTTTGTGAAATAAAAAATTGCCGGGTCCCAGAGATCAGCAGTAGTTCACCATAACGTGAATCATCTGGACAGGAGACAATACGTTGACAGTTTACTGACATTCATTAGTTCAGGGTATTAAAGATGAAGGCTGATGAGGAAGCACTGAATATCCTAATAGACTTAAGAGCAGGCAAATTAAATTCCATGCAGATAAATGTGAAATGATGCATGTAAGGAAAAACAAACATTATAAAATGATAATCACTGAGCTGACTATTCTCACTCAAGGTAAAACCTCGGAGTTAAAAGAAGAGGTTGGATGCAAATGTCACTGCAGCGCTTACCAGTCAGAACAGCAAAATGAATGTTAGGAGGAAGGAAAGGAATAAACAACAAAAAGAATCATTGTTAATGCCTTTATATTTCCTTTATATTACCTTTATATTTCTTGGTGTACCCACATTTGTACTTTGTGTTACTCCAGTCTCCCTTATCTCAGAAGGGATATAGGCAAATCAAAATGTTTCAGAGAATCTTTAAAAAGATCAGAAACCTTCAGTAGCTTTTAGTTTTTTCAGGAAGTATCTTAGAAACTAAATAGGCTGAGATTCTTCAGGAAGGCAGGCAACTGGGCAAAGATGATACACCTTCTTCATGTTGGTCATGGTCTTAGGGATTTATTTACCATCTTTTCCAATACATGAACTAAGGTTCAGTTGATTAACCTCCAACAGGTGACAGATTCAAAACAGGAGGAGGTCATTGTTTTTATAATAATGTGCAGTTAAACATTTTGGAACTTCTTTCAAAAAGTATCATGAAATGCTAAAAGGAGGCTCTGGGATGACCTTATAGCGGTCTTCCAGTACCTCAAGGGGGCCTACAAGAAAGATGGGGAGAGGCTGTTCAGGAGGGCCTGTTGTGATAGGACAAGGGGTAATGGTTTTAAAATAGAGGGAGGTAGATTCAGATTGGATATTAGGAAAAAGTTTTTTACCATGAGAGTGGTAGAACACTGGAACAGGTTGCCCAGAGAGGTGGTGGATGCTCCATCCCTGGAGACATTCAAGGCCAGGTTGGACGAGGCCCTGAGCAGCCTGATCTAGTTGGAGATATCCCTGTTTGTTGCAGGGGGGTTGGACTAGATGACCTTTGAAGGTCCCTTCCAGCCCTAACCATTCTATGATTCTATGATTCTATGTTACCAAGAGTCTGAGAATCGAAGTCACTGAAAAGGAATGCATTAAAAGTAGTTGAATGCAGAGGTAACACCTATGGTTTGTTACATAACTGGGCAGTTAATTATAGAAGCTGGAGAGTACTCTGGGCAAATAATCACTTATAGTTGCCTTGGTTTTATTTTCTTCCCTGGTTTATCACCAATAGCCTCTCTCCTAGCAATAGCAGAGATAGATGGACCTTTGGTATGACTCAGTAAGTCTCTTTTTACAAAGCGTTGTCAACACTTTATCCTACTGAGCAAAGTATTAAGACATGTAAGGGATTAAAAATTTAGGTTCGCACCCAGTCATTTTAGGATCGATCTTGTCATTGCTACCAGTAAAGATGCCAGGTGGATAAAAAGAGAGCTTATAATGGCTGCAGTTGAAACTTAATTTCTAGTGGAGTTGTATCATTCAGATATTGTTGGAATCTAAAGAAGTGTGTTATTCTATATTGCATTTAATGGAAATGTTACTTGTAAAAGAAATGATACTTCACAAGAAATTCACTATTTATTTTGCTTTTAGGTAAAATGATCCATTCTATGGTTGCTCACTTGGATGCTGTCACAAGTCTAGCTGTAGATCCTAATGGAATCTATTTAATGTCTGGAAGTAAGGGTTTTTTAATCTTCTGTATGCTCTATAAATTTTACATTTATGATGCACTTGAGTGTCTGACAAATCTAACTTTTTCTTTTTACCTTTTTTCCTAAACAGGCCATGATTGTTCCATTAGGTTATGGAATTTGGACAGCAAGACATGTGTGCAAGAAATAACAGCTCATAGGAAAAAGCTGGATGAATCAATTTATGATGTAGCATTTCATCCGTCAAAAGCATATATTGCCAGTGCAGGAGCTGATGCCCTTGCCAAAGTATTTGTGTGACATAGCAGAACACACCTGCGTCGTAACAGCAGGTCTGTTTGGACAAAAAAGAGGGAATGCGTCACTGCCATCAATGATACGGTTACAATAAGACACTACATCTGATCTGCCTGGGTGAAGGCTCTTATGTGGGGCAGGTATAAGTTGGTGAAAAGTCACCACATCTTGAACAATGTCAGGCTCATTCATTTAACTGTAATTACTGTATTTGGGGGGGTGGGGAGAAATAACAAAAAAGAAAACCAGTATTTGTAGCCTTGACTGGATATGAACTGAGCGTATGTCTGTTCTTTAGGTATCTTTAAGCAAACGTGGAGTCTGATCTTAAAAAGACTTTTATTTTGGACTCTGTGTGCTGCCTTAGGGTTAGGAATGTGGTGCTCTTGTGGGGGGAAGTGAGCTCCAAGAGTAGCTTTCTTTTCATCTCTTAGTAATCTTCTGTTTATCAGTTGAATGCCACAGATTCCCCTTTTAAACTTTTATTTTGCTTTAAAGAAAAGGAAATTTAACTTAAAATATTTTAGCATTAGTTGCACAAAATGTTTGGATAAAATTCTAGTTTTTATAAGTCTTTTTATATATTTAGCCTGTCACAACAGTGCTCAAGATTGTATTGATAATGTTTTTCTGCATTATAGAACCCTAAAACACAGAGATCTCACTGACCCGCTGCCGTGTAACCACACTCTTCCCTTCTTTTGCCTAATACAGCTCAGCTAAGTCCTTGCATAAGGATGCTAATTCATCACCATCGCATAACTGTCTTCATAAATAAAGGACTGTAAATGTGTTCAAGTGAAACACGGAGGGGTTAACGCCCCCAAATGAACTCTTAAAAAAAAAAAAAAATTAATCTTGGCATCCTATCACTATGTGATATTTTGTACATCTTACTGTATTTACGAGTTTATTTATCAAGGATTATCCATCTTGCTAATGGCCTATTGTTATTTATTTCACTTTTTGTTGGTCTTTATATCCTTTTATGTAGTGTGTTAAAGGGCCCTGTATATCTCTTATGGCACTCTTTGAACAGTCTAAAATAGATGAGAAAATGGGACGTCTGATAATTCTAAAGTTGCAAACCAAGAGTTTCTTTTCCTTCTGATTAAGTACCTGGAGTAGAGTTGATTCCAAAAAACAATCTTGTTTCAGAACTTTTGGAGTGAAAAATATTTTTATTTGCGTTTCAAATAGAATACAAAAGTAGTTGATTCAAGATTCATAAATCTGCTGTGTTTTGACTAGTTATTCCCTGCTTTTATTTTATTTTCAGATGTGCTTCAGTTTATGGTGTAACTAAAGATTTTGTTTGTGTAATGCATGATTAATACAATAAAGTATTTTTTCTAGTCTTCCACAAAACTTTTCTGATCAGTTTGCAAGTTTTGATGAGTTTTGTAAGGTTTCTGTTTTACAAACTATGAATCAGCAAATTTTTAAGATTGTACCACATAGCAAAAGTACAGCTGTTGAAAAATAATGTATATAAAATGCATATAATAAATATTAAATGGTGTACCTGTATGTTACTGTTGGCTACATTATTTTGTGTTGCACAGTTTGAAAGTGTCATTCTACAAATTACTAAATTAGGTCTAAATTTTAGCAAAGTGACCATTTGTTTATTATGCTTATACGCTGCTTTGCTTTTGGAAAATTGTAATAGTTGTCTGGATGTCAACCAACTGTTCAGTTTCAAGCAGCAGTACCCACATGTAAGAACATGTTTCCACAATATTTTTAAAGCTATTTACAAGAACAAATTGAAAATTGTTAGTGTATTCTTAGAGTCTTTACAAAATAATCGCACTGTTTTTCACTATCTCTGTATATGAGGTGATTCTCAAGTGATTTAGGTGCCAGAAAGATACTGGGTTTATTTCAAACTGCCACTGAATCATTGTATTGAATTAAAAAAAAAACAAAACACCACCAAAACCCACGTTTTTAAATGCTTAAAACTTGCCCACATGTCAAATGTTACCAACGTTGACCTTTGTCCATTTCTTTACAAGTCCTACAGTAAAGGTGATGCGCAGAAGGGCAATTTTTTTGCAAAAGGCTAAGCTGCACGTCAGCAATTAGCTACTCTGTGACAAGTCGCTTTCCTGAAAGTGTGTCAGCAGAAACAGAATACTACAATCTGAATCTTAGATTTTCATTTAAAAGTAGTGTGCCTAGGTATAAATTATCTTAAGCTGGAACATGTTCCTATAAGTGGTTGTAACTGTATTGTTCCATGTAGTTTCTAGTTTTGCAGTGAGAATGTATCTCATGCCATCTCATGTCAAGCAAATTAGATTTAAAGAAAAGAGAAAGGAAAAAAAGGTGCTCACGGTAGGCAGAATATGCAGTTATATTCTGGAATTAATTTTGTTTTAGTAATAATGTTACGTTGTTTGAAATGTTACAGTAAATGATAATTGTATAGAAATTGGAGAATTTTGTCCTTTATCATGAAGATTGAGGTGAGGCCTTTCAGTAACTGCTTGTAGGACACTAAGACTTTACTTTTGAAAGTAACATTCAGCTGATTTGCACTTTTTGTTCCTTCCAGTCTAAAGCATTCAACTAATCAACAGACAAGAGAGTATTTGAATTTTATTGGAAGTAATTTCATAATCGCCTTTTCTGAAGCCAAACATTGTTTCTGGCAGCTTTTCCAGACTGCTGCATTTTATTGCTTAAATGAAATGTGATTGTTTAATAAACATTGCCATGCATAACATTTACTTTTTTTTTCTTTTTGAATTGTATTAAAATTGAAATGGTAAAACCAAAAATATTTGCTTATTTTCATTAATTGAAATCTTAATGGTCATCTTAGTTCACTAATGCATAGTAGATCAAATATAGTGAGGCTTCATTTATTGAATATGGACAATAATCTCTAATACAGTCTTAGTTATTGTGGGATGTAATATGCTAAAAACTATTTCTTTTTCGGTTTTTTAGAACAGAAAAGCAGTAGTACTGGTGATGGGGGGGAAAAATGATAGTGCCGAAATAAATGCTTTTGTTTAGCAAAATACCTCAACTATGAAAGAATTGATGAACTTCTCTTTTGTAAGTAAGACCCAAAGGACTTGTGCTCAGAACCTGAATGGAAAGATATCTAAATGTGTTTAATAAAACATTTAGCATCTAGGGTATGATTGATGTTAACAGATTTACTCCCTGTCTTGCCTTTTATTGTAGGAAGTGTTTTAAGCACGAGTGGTGACCAGTCCAGCATCTTGTCTACATAAGTATCAAATACATCTGAAAAAGGATGTAACAAGCCCTGATCAAGAACCTTCCCTGGTTTAGAAATCCTAAGAAAGAATTTATTTGTCAGGAGATAATTGGTAGATTTTCCTAATGGAAAAAACTCTGTGGGCTTGAGGATACATTATCAGAGCCTGTCCATTTCTCCTATTTTATGTTAATTAATTATTTTAGAACTGATAGTTCTCTGTCCTGGCATACTCTTATTATTACGCGCATCTCTAGCACTTCCTATCTCACATCAGTGGAAAGCTTGGTCACACAGTGACCTGTTTGTACTAGCTACCATATCACATAAAAAGTGTCTCAAACAAATTCATCCCAGTTGATCAACTGGTATTTTTGCAGGGAGGCTAAACACACAGATTGGTGGTCTACATAAGTCTTGCTGGGAAAATGAGTGGAATTTTTCCTCCCAGATAAGGTACACAGTATGAAAATATGACCAACTACCATTTCGTTGTATTTGATTTCATTACAGTGTGTGTGTATGTATTCTTTTTTTAAGAACTTCTTTAAAAGAAAAAGAAGTAACAAATACAGAAGGCTCCAGAATTTTTTTTTAAATGCTATGTCTGAGGTGAGCATGAATGAAAGTTTAAGTTCCATATTTAATACTTGCTCTGTTGATACTTGGAGAAGTCCTATGCAATCCTCAAATCCTTGAGTACTATGCAGACTAAATAGCTTACATTAATAGATTTTTTTAAAAAATAGTTTAAGCTACAAAACATTGAAAGTCATAAAAGTACATTGCTTTTTTTCTAACTTTAATATGGAATCGAATTTTGACTGACTTGGTAATGGAAAATAACATGCTTTCTTTTTAGTCCTCCCTCTTACCTCGATATCTTAATTGCCCCCCATAAGAGAAGTCATCTAGACTTTCAGAAATGAAAGTGCATGCAACAAAATACATCAATTTTTGAATATTTACAGAGTTTAAGGAAGAGATCCCTAGTAATGAAAGGGAGGCAATGTGAGGTAGCTGAGGTTATAAGGCTCTTGTTTTCAAGAATCACTGAACATCTGTCTTCAGTGCTGTAAAAGTCTCTGCTGAAGACAGTGAATAAAGTTGTTGTGTACTCTAACAATAGCTATGGTTTAATTTCTTCAGAGGCGCATCAAACAGGCCTGTTTTTTTTGTGATCTAGAATCTTATTAGGAGATCTTTAATTTTCTAACTATTCATTCCCATACGTCTTGAATTTAATACTGATATTATTTCCTCCTGGAAGGTCACATCCAGTGTCCCAGCTGATTTGGTCGAGTTTTCCTGAAGCAAAATAACTGGGGAGGCCCACTGATGGCCAGCCCTTCGGCCAGCCTGGCACACGGACAGTTTCTAGGAGCAGCGCTAGGGCGATTCATCTGGTCACAGAAGAATGCTTACTTTGATCATATGTAGTACTATAACATAATGTTGTCAGAGTAACGCTGAATCTCTAGCATGCTGTCTTAACTGGAGCCGAGAGAGAACTGATTCCTACAGGCATGTGGCTCCGCTGTATTTCTCCGTTGGGAACCTAAGCTATTGATGGCTGTTAGCTAGTTTCCTCTAACAAATAGCAAGCAGCAACTTGAATCATTTAATACTTTATGTGCAAAGAACATGCACAGTTGTCTTCAGTTCCATGGAGAGTATCTATAGTGTCCTGTTACTTAAATCTTATCAGTGCTGTGAGACTTGATGCTCTCGTTTTAAATAGATTCAAATTAATGGATTTATTACAGAATCAGAAACTTTCAGTGCTGTGAGTTTATACATATTTGTAAAACTGAGACTACAGGGAAGAACTTAATAGTTTTCTTGTACTAGCTGTGTGGGTTAAAGGCTGCCTCTTTTAAACTGAGGGTTATTGGGAGCTATGTCTCTTTTAGTAAAGTTCAAAAGTATTGATATTGCCCCATTCTTTAAAAACGGCATTAATCCTTTGAAAAGTGATGGTCTTTCAAATAAACATAAAGATAACACTAGCTTAATTATGTAGCTTCTAGAATTGTTCATTTCTATCACAAAAGATATGGGGTGAGATATATAACTCTTAAGGTGAAAGGCTCCGTTCTACTTCACAGGATACTGGGTACTGTAGAATAAATATTTGGTGATCAGGGAATGTTTGCTTTTGGGATGTCTTTGACTTGAATGTATTGGAGAGCCTTTAACTGGAAGGGAGAATACCACCATAAGAGTATGATTTGCAGCTCTGTCCTCGGGTTCTGACAGAAAATAAGTAGGATCAGTTATGAGACCAAATTTATTTAAGGAGTAACTTGAAGAGCAGCTTTTTGCAGCTGAGCATTTTTGATAATATTATATGGATTTTTAATTCTGTTCAGTCTTAAGCATTAATTAAATCTAGCTGATCTGCTAACTTCCTTCTCCTGCCTGCTTTTGTCTCTCAGCTTTTCTGGAAAGTTCCAGAGGCTTTGAGAAAACTGTAGGAGGAAAGAGTAGCTCGTATAGACGTGAGGCCGTGAATCCATGTGTGACCAACAGAAAAACATGCCCGTTAGGACTCTGTGACCTGAGCGGGTGCCTTTGTAAGCTCAGAGCAGAGCCCTGTGGCCCCTGCTGCGGGTGAGGCAGAGCCGGTGGGGCGCACTGGGCAGTGCCACCCGGAGAAGGCAACAAGGGCTGCTTCGGGGTGGGGGACAGCAGCCACAGGAGTCTGGAGCAGGCAGAGCCTGGCAGATGTGTCCCTCCCTGCCTGCAGCCGTTCGGTGTCTGCGGAGCGGAGAACTGCTCGCCTTGTCCGCCATCGGTCACGCACCTCCAGGGCGTTCCTGGAGGCCTCTCCCATGCCTCTGCCTGCAGCTTGACTGTCTGTGACTGTCGGAGCTCCCGCTTCTTCTCCAGCCACCAGCCTGGGTGATGCCGGTGAGTCCGGAGGTGGGTAGGGGGAGCGACGCCCCAGACGGAGCAGGAGAGCTGCCGGGCTGCTGGTGAGCCGGGGGCAGGTGTTCTTCCCCCATGAAGGAGGGCTGGCCAAGGGGTGGGGTGCTGTTGGTGACTTTCTGGTTACTGGCATCATTGGCTTTTTTAAGCAGATTTTTTCCTACTGTGTCAGGTGTCTTTCCTCTCCAGTTGCTCTTTTGTACCTTGAAAGAGTGGATTTTATGTTATTGAATTGTTCTTTAATGAATATGTGGAGTTTTTTTTCTTTCCAAAGTAAAGGCTTTTCTGAGGAAAAAGCTGCCCATTTGGTTAGGGGCCTCTTGCATCTAAGCTCTTGTCAGACTTAAATTCAGCGGGAATAAAGAGCTCCTGCTTCACGAAGAAGTAATGTCTTCCTTCCCTGAAATCTCAGCACGAGCTGGGAGCAAAAAAATCCAAACCCTTCAGCTCTTCAGGCCCTGTGTCTTAGCTCCATTTTATGTGCCTGGTGCTTCTGGTGGACTGGTTGGTAGCCAGAGGTTTCTCCTGGACTGCCTTACCTGGGGTTTTTCAGTGTTACTTGGAACTACCATTGCATCTTACTGACAGCGAATCTTTTAGGATGCTTTTCAGTACCACTTTGCTACTGGGGTGGTTGTTGTGAAACAAGAGGCTGTATTTTATCTTCCTGAATGGGTGCTTTGATTCTTTTGCTTTGATAACCCAGGTGACTGATTCTGCCAGTTTTAATAAGTGTAGTTTTTGGTTAAGATGATTTAGATAATAGCTGCCATGCAGAACAATTTCTGAGAGGCTGGAAAT